TGCCTGGACTGAGTCTACCAGGTTGATCTCAATCCTCAGGGGAGTCTTTGCCCTGGAGGAGATGGGAATGGGGGGTGGGCTGGGGGTAAGGGGAGGGGGCCAGGAGGGGGGAGAACAAGGGAATCCATGGTTGATATGTAGAATTAAATTATATTGTAAAATAAAATAAAATAATAAAAAAAAGAAAGAATAACTCAAGCTACAAAGTTGTGTTTCCAAAACCACAGCTGCAATTACAAGCATTCCGAAGTAAGCTTCCTTCCTCTTTCCCTTTTCTGGAACATTCTAGAATTTACTGTAGAGGTTTTTGTACGTTTATTGATCTTTTTACCTCTTATCTACCATTTGTCTGTTCATCTTCCTATTACATATATAATCTACTTTCTATTATGAGCTATTTGAATACATAGAATTGTGTTCAGACTAGATTTTTGCACAATAGCCAATGTAGTCAAGTTTCAACATTTTACTGTGTTGAATTTAGATATTTTTAAAGAATTTAAATGTTACTGAAAATGTTATAGCTTCCCATATTCTCATCCTCTGCTTTGCATCTTAGTGGAAACTCTAGCTTGAATTAAGTGCTTAACTTCACCAGAAATTTTTATGTTTACTACTTACATATGAATATTTACATATGAGTGTAAATATTCATAAGCAGTATCATTTGCTGTTTTAAACTTGATAAATATTGTAAAATTCTGTTTGCATTCCTGAAATGTTTGAGTTCCTTTCCTTTGAAGTTATGTTTCTGAGACCTTTCTGTTGATACACTCAGCACATCTTATTTAAACGCCTGTATCCATTCTGAGACAGAATTTCAATTTATGTGTTCTGCTTGACGTGAGCATCTAGATTGTTCCTTCCTTGTTCTTATAATTAATCCTGCAGTATACATTCTTGACAATATCTACCAATCATTCCCCCACACGGAGAAAGTTTCCCCAAGTTATATATGACTGGAAGAAATTTGATTCTTAGATTATGTGCATTTTCATCCTTGAACACTACCTAATCATTCTTCAGGATGTGTGTTAAAACCAATGTATACTAGCATATCTGTATAAGCTTCTGTATTCCTGAACGGACACTTTATTTATAACTGTCTTCTGGGTTTCTCAATGAATTATGCCATGCAATACGAGTAGCAGGTGGTCTGACAGAGGCTCCCCATTCCCAACTTAATAATTCACTCTTGATTCTTCTTGCTAGAGAATATGCAAACATCTTTGTGTTTCAGTCACCACTTCATTTTCTTAGTCATTACCCTTGTGTTTTATTCACAGCAGTGATTTGTGTCTGATGTAGGACCTGGAATTCTGTTACATAGAAAAGTTCCCTTCCACCTCAATTCAGCTTAGAGGCTAAAATTCTAACCCTGAGTTGATGCTATTATGAAGTAGGAAACTCTGGGAAGTGGTTAACAAAGTATAGAGTCCTGAAAACTGAATGTGGGCCTTTTAAAAAGTAGACCAAAGGGTTTGTTTGCCTCTTCCATCACATGACAGCACAATGGGGAGGCAAAGTGGCCCTGGCCAGCCACAGAAATTACCAGTACCTTGAATGTCATGGACACCCCCCCACACAACCACTGACGAAAACCTGCTGATGCTGACAAGCTACCTCATTTACGGTAGCTTGTTACATAGAGACTATGCCAAAGGTCTTACAAATTAGTTGTTACTATTAACTCCTTTGAAGTTTTTTAGGACCACCACAAAAACTTATAGTTTTCCACATAGTATCTCTAGATGTTTGTGGAAATATTGTACTATCATATACTTGCAAAATAAAATGTAATTTCTGAGTATGGCAAGTTGGAAACAAATCTGAGAAGCTATAATAAAGCCTCATCTTAACTTCTTTAAAAAATTATACTAATATATATCCATATTGACTCATAGAGGAATAGTTTAAACTTTAACTTAGGAGATAGCAGTTACTTCTGGTAATTTTACTACCCTCAAAAAACAATCTAAATTATATCAAATAAAGCTTACATAGCTGTGTCAAATGGGAGAGATGTTTTTTGTTGTTTCACAAATGAAATTATTGCATACTTACAATAAAAAATATCTATTGAAAACCTTTAGGAATATCTTATTTTATTTTGTTTAGTTCAATTTACTATAGAAAATTTGCTTGCCATATTTAAAGTTAAAACAAAAGAAAATTTTCATACATACAACACTGTTTATAATAATAGAACAAACACTGAAGCTCATGTTTTATTATAATACAAACAAAATATACATTTAACAATTTTAATTATGTTATACTACAAGACTACATTTTTTAAAAGTAGAATGATTTATCATTGATTGCTACCAATGAAAATGCTAGAATTAAAATTAACTGTGGATTCTGACAAGTTTTTTTTTCTTTCCCCAAATGTTATGTTTAAACTTTTCACAAATAATTTACATCACAGAGTAATTAAGCAAGAGTTACAAAACCTGTGCATTCTTCTGTACCTAAATTTTTGATTTTCAGAATCTTGGAATTTTAAATCTTATGCCTTTTTAACCTCACATACAAAGTGAAAATTGTAATATTGTGACCATACACTATGAGAAAATATATATTTCTATTAAAAAAAACCCATGCCCCCACCCAAAGGCTTTTCAGTTAAAACGCACTGTGACAAATGAGACACTAAAAATGTGAGAAATGTGGCTACCAATGTCA